TCGAGAGCTGATCATTGAGCATAAACAAACCGTGGATTTGTTCCGGGAATTTCTTCGTGAATATAATGTTGGTGGCTTCGGACTGGTTTATCGGTTCGTCAAATTCCAAGTTTTTCGCTAGAAATTTTTTTTTTACTTTATTTTTTATTAATTCATATTAATTCAAATTCTTTTCTGTTTTGCTGTTTTAGTGGACCGAAACATTTCTTACCATTAAAATAATTCTTATGATTTATAAATTTTGTAATTCTCATCTCCTACCTTTTTTTACTGTTTGTCTTCTTTCATCCGTTGTTAATACACCCTATTTTTTTTTTATTTCATTACATTTTCCAAAATTTTTGATTCCCCGGATTTTCAGAGAATTGCTGAAACGGAACTGTTCTCTTGGCAAGCATTATGTGGAAGTTTCGCTGGATGATTTGAAGGGTTTCAACGAAGAAATTGCAAACAAAATGCAACAGTATCCCACTCGTATTTTGGCCGCTGTAAACTTTTAGCCTAATCCAATTTTGTGTAGTTTTTACTCAACTTTTTCCGATCATCGGTACTACAAAGGTGTTTTGCGTACATCAAATTTTTTATAATTTACAAATTTTGTAATTCTCATCTCCTAGTAATAGAAAAGTCCATTAAAAACTGTTGAAATAAGCAGAAGAATCAAAAAGGAGGGTGGTGAATGAAATTAGAAATTTGTGAGTTTATTATAACGGTAAAAAATGTTTCGGTCCATTAAGTCGTATACATTTCTTACCATTACCACAATTGGACCTGGTCAGTACGACGATTTTGGTAATTGTAAATGGTGGTAAATCTCAAGGCCAAAGCCTGTGATACGTCTGCTTAAAACGTCTGGGGAAATCTCTAATATCGATTATCCTTGTTCTTTTGTTGTTAGTACCTCAAAATTTCCGCTTTTTTTCACTTGATTTCTTTGCATATTATGGCACTGGCTGTTAAATTAGGTAAAAAAATAGTCCAATAAAACCAAAAATAAATAACTCAGCTTAATAAAAACAGATTTCCTACAAATTTTTAATAGGCTTTTTTTAGCTAATAGCAAAATTTGCTAAAAAATATTGTTGGATTCCAGCCGAAGTAGTCTTTTTGTCGTTTGTCAATACCTCAATTTTTTGCTTAAATCGAATTAAAAAGTCTGTTCTTACATCCACTGGTACCATCAATTTTTGACTTTTTTGCTATTAATAAAAATAATAATAATAAATATCACATATTTCTTCGTCCAACTCTTTTACAATTACTGATATTTTTATAGGTTTTCTATTTAATTTTTTGTAATACCACTGATTTTTGAAGGTTTTTTTACTCATTTTTTTCATCTCTTTTATAAATATTGACATTTTTCAAGTCGCTCCGCTTGATTTTTTTGTAATATCACTGTTTTTTTTTTTAGGTTTTTTACTCAAATTTTCTGGGAATCTGTGGTGCCAAAAGTTTTCAGATACTGCTAAATTTTACCTTCAGGTTATAAAAAAAATTTTTTTTTGCAGCTTGAAGAAGCTGGGAAACTTACTGCTGATGAGGCGATGGAGAGCGCTGCAAAGGGTATCGAAATTCATGATGTACAAGTGACGCTGCAGAGCAATGAAGTTGCGGCCAGTATTCGGCAGCTAAAGGTAAAAATGTTTTATGGCTGTTAATCCCTGAGATATTTTCGGATCGGATTTGGATTTCTCGAGTAGTTGGAAATAGCTCTGAGTCCCGGTGATGGGGAGGAGTGCTTTTATACCCCAAGGATCAGAGATTACTAAGATTGCAATTTTTCATAGGAGTATGATGTCCAAAAGTTGAGCCGGGGTATTGCATCATAGTAACGCAATTGTTCCTTACGCTATTTCTAATAAAAAAAAACCATAAATTATTGTTTAAGTATATTACATTTGGCATCTGTTGGACTTTAGGATACAACCAGAATAACAATAATAATACGCTGGGCCCTTCAGAGGCCGCCAGAGAATATATCAGTTAATACGTTCAGCCCGGACGGGGATTATTCAGCCTTTCTTCTTTTTCTCCAAACACCAAACTCTTCTATGCAGCAGAGGCTGCTTTGCTGCGTGCACAATATACCAGTACAAGTCTTTATAGTAACCTCAAATTTGGGTTATTGACCATACAAAGAACAACAAACAACAAGGTATAACAATCCCCTAAGTTAAGCACTTCTTATGCTTATAATGAAAGACCTTTTTTTTCCTGCAGAGTGCGCATGTATCGCATTTGGTAAAAATATCCGGAATTATCGTAGCCGCTTCACAAGTACGCTCAAAAGCAACACGTGTTTCGATTCAGTGCCGCACTTGTCGACATACAGTCAATAATATTGAACTG